AGCAAAGGACAAGTGTGAATAGTTGTTTCCAATGATACAGCCTAAAAGAAGTCCAGTGGTTGAAAGTGAACACTGTTGCTGCACAACATATGCAGTCAGAACATGCAATGTGAGATATATGAATCAAGGCAACTGGAAACTGTAAAGCAAGAAATGTAACAGTTAAACATTGCAGCATTTGGTGTGAGCAAATGGAAGTAGACTGGAATGTGATATTTTCAGTCAGATAAACAGAAAGTTAGGCCTAAGAACTGAAGCATGGAACATAGAGGAACACAAAGACCATCTTCCAGCCTGTCCTATCTAACAAGAAAGGTGGAAGGTTTATCCTTTGTTACAGGAGTGAATAAGAATAGTGAAATTAAAACTGCTTTAATTATTTTGGAATATATGGACCAGAAACTCAGTTTCTGAAGGGACAGATGCAGTAACCAAAACAATGACAGAAACCAGGCTGAGAAGGACCTGTTCCAGAGTCCCATGAGGAATTGAAAGATTACTTAAATTTATCCATTAAATGATGGAATAAATTAGACTGGATGAAATCAGAAGTTTACCTTTTTATGGGACTAATGATAGGATTGCTCATATCACTGAGGAAGGATGTGCTTCATATGTGGATGAACACTGAACTGGATTGGGCTGGTTTGGACAGATCTGAGAGAAGTGATACTCCTCCAAGGTAGACCACATGGATTTCCTTCCATGAAGATCATTTAGCAATTCAGATTTGAAGGGACATGAACAGTATATCTGCAAAAATAAATACATTTTACCTCAAATTTTCTACACATGGAAAACGGCAAGGTAGGAAATGGCAGCGGGCAGAAAAGGAGTTATAGTTTTGTGACAGCTGAGAATGTGCTAAGAAGGGGAAATCCTCTTGTTTGATCTTGACAGATTTCCTGTTCACTTCTTATTGGAAGCAGGCTGAATTGGGATTTCATGCGGGGGCAGGGGGAAGTTACGTGTGTGTGACTTCCATCTGAAAGATTGGTGGTAATTTGCACATTTAAATTTTCCACATCATCATTCCATTTCATTTCTGTACCACCCAGTAACCACAACTCTGGGTGGTTTACAATAGTACCTAAAAAGATTGCAATACAATCCCACAAAATCTTATTAAAAGAAACAAAGAAATTAAAAACAGCTAAAACATACAATGAAGCATAATCCTGTAAAAGGAAAACTCTGGGATGAGTGATCCACTTAAGACCCTAGGTAACCAACTATATTCTTATAAGTTTTGCCATAAAGAGCCATCTTAACCTGGTGCTGAACAGATGACAAAGTTGGTGTCAGGGGGGCTGCAGTGATGAAGTCATTTCATAGATGAAGAAAGCACTCCCTCTTGTTTTTTCCCTTAGAACTTGCATTCAGAAAACACCACGGGTTGAATACAGTGTCCGAGTAGGACACTGCTCAGGAGAATGGCCAACATGCTAGGAACATCATTCTTCCCACTTCAGACACCTGGATACTAGCAGGAACCTCTGCTGAAGAAGACATGCTGTGATGTTCACAAGGGGGGCAGGCAAAAAGGATGCCCTAGTTAATTAATGCATGTTTGGTACAATGCAGGCACTCTTCCATGAACCCCCTCCCAGCCTCTTGAGACTCATCTACCTTTATGCCACATAGATGTGTCCTTAGTCTTTGTATTCTTCTTCTGTGGTTTGAGGTGAGGTCTTGGCACTCCTCTCCCTCCTTTTCTAGAACAAAAGTGAGAGATGGACTGCCTGCACTGTCCTATCTTGCATCTTCATAACATGGAGAAGGATAGATTTTTGCAGGAGGAGTAACCTTGTAAAATGGCAGATGATCACTCCTTAAGCTAGGCAGAGAGATAGGAGCAAAGTGCAAGGAGGAGCACAAATGCAAGTGAGCTTAGAGACAGGAGAAGGAGGTTTGGTTCCCTGTACTCACATGCTCTGCAAGCACCAGTCCTCCCTGTCCACTAAGTGCACCTGCCACTTCTGGTGGGCCTCACTTCTCCTTCTTGGCCTATGACACTTCTTCCAAAGTTGCTGGTGCACTTTCCATGGGGTACTGTGAAGTGATCAGCTGACCAGGAATGGGCTGCTGTGGAGGGAGGGCACATGCAACAGGTGCCAGGCCATGAAGTCTGGAGGCTACACCAGTGCCACAGTGTGGTTGGTACATGCAATCATGGCAGTGGGGGAGGCAATGAGGAGTAGGAGTGTCAGTGCTAGGAGTGGCTGCTGTGGTGGCCCTCTGTAGTGGACAACAGAGGAAGCTCATGTGGCTTCACAAAAAGCTAAGGGATGATCTGAAAACAAAAAAGGATATGTATAGGAAGAATATAAGCAAAGTAGCAAGGAAATGCAGGGATGGCATCAGGAAGGCTGAAGCAATGAATGGACCGATGATAGTGGGGGAGCTAAAAGCAACAAAAAGCCTTCTTCAAATATATCCAAAGCAAAAGACAGATGAAAGAGAAGGGAGTTCAGCTACTCAATGTGGATGGAACAGTGATAACACAGAGTACAAAGAAAACTCAGAAGTGCTCCAGCCCTACTTTAGCTCAGTCCTTCCCAAAAGAAGAACTGATGAAAATGTAGTACAAGTTGAAGGGGCAGAATCGCAGCCCAAAATTGCCAGGCGAATGTTCAGGGGTCATCTAGTTGGGCTAAACAAGTGCAAATCTTGAGGGCCTGATGAATTTCAACCCAGAGCTAGCAAAAGAACTCTCAGAACCACTATCTGTAATCTTTGAGAATTCATTGAAGAAAGCAGAAATGCCAGATGACTGGAGAAGGGCTAATGTGGACCCCATCTACAAGAAAGGAAAAACAAATGAACCTGAGAACTATAGACCAGTTGGTTTAACATCAATCCCTGGGGAAATATAGAGCACATTATCAAGCAGTCAGTCTACAAACCTCTTGAAAGCAATGCTGTAATTACTAAAAACCAACATGAATTTGTCAAGAACAATCCTGCCAGACTAATTTATTCTTTTTTAAACTGGAAAACCTTCCAAATGGACTGTGGAAAGGCTGTGGGCATAATCTAGCTAGACATTAGGAAAAACTTTAACAAAGTGCCCCATGAGATTCTGATTACCAAGCTACCGTGTTTCCCCGAAAATATGACACTGTCTTTTTTATTTTTTTATATGTGTGTGGCTCTGCTCCCTCCGCTGCCTGAAAAGTTTTTTCTTAATCATCAGTAAGGGAAAAGCGTTTGTTAATTATCAGCAATCATCATTTGCTAACTGCCACATCCTCTGCAACACTCTTTATTAGCTCACTGTACCACGGAGGGAGCAGAGCTGCATAAGCCGGCTCCTGTCACAGGCAGAGTACATTTGGTATCAGTCTGCCTGTGACAGGAGCCAGCACTATAAAGGAAGCATCAGCTTATGTGGCTCTGCTCCCTCCACAGGGAGTGGAGGGAGCAGAGCTGCATAAGCATGTTTCCTCCACACAGTGCATTAAGTTAAAGTTAAGTTAAAAATAAAGTTTTAAAAGGCTCTTTATGTTCCCCACTGTCCCTGGGAATAAACACAGCTAGGTCTTATTTTTGGGGTAGGTCTTATATTTTAGCAAGTACCAAAAATAGTACTAGGTCTTATTTTCGGGATAGGTCTTATTTTTGGGGAATCATGGTAGCAAAAGTAAGCTAGATAGTGCAACCATTAGGTGGATCCACAATTGGCTGCAAAATCAGACTCAAAGAGTGCTCAGCCATGGCACCTTCTCAAACTGGAGAGAGGTGACAAGTGGGATGCTGCAGGGTTCAGTCCTAGGCCCAATGCTCTTCAACATCTTTATTAATGATTTAGGTGAGGAAGTACAAGGAAAGATAATTACGTTTGCAAATGACACAAAGCTGGGTGAAATACCAAATCCCCTGGAAGACAGAGATAAAACAGAGGGTGATCGCAATTGCCAAGTCCTCTGCTTAGGAATAAGAAACCAAATGCATTGTTACAAAATTGAGAATACTTGGCTCAATAATACTGCCAATGAGAAGAATCTTGGGGTTGTTGTCATCATGAGTGTGAGCCAACAATGTGATGCAGCTGCAAACATGACAAATGCTATTTTGGGCTGTATTAACAGAAGTATTACTTGAAAAGTTAAGGAGCTCCTCAGGTTTTTAGAAAGTTTCGAGCTCTGGGATAGATCGCTGCACTGTCTGATGGATTAGGGCATGGTGGACAGACAACAAGAAGGGGGTGACTATCAGAATGGCAGCTGTTGACCAGCGGAGTGCCCCAGGGCTCAAGTTCTGGGACCAGTTCTCTTCAGCCTTTTTATCCATGACCTGGAGGAGGGGATAACCTCCTGACTAAATTCATGGATGATAACAAAGTGGGGGTGGTGACCACAAATGAGGAGCAGGTGATCCAGATCCAGAAGGATCTGGACAGGCTGTTGAAGTGGGCAGAAGACAACAGGATGGTGTTCAATGTGGATAAGTGCAACATCTTGCATTTGGGGCACAGGAATAGGTGTCACAGGTGCAGGATGGGGGACAAGTGGATGGAGAACAGCACTTGTGAAAAGAATCTTGGGGTACTTGTCAACAGCAGGATGGCAGTGTGATGCAGCAGTTAAGAAATGCCACCCTTGGATGTAGAGCCAGAAGCATGACTTCCAGATCTAGGGAGGTGATACTGCTGCAGGTGTGCCCAAAACTGAGGTACTGCATCCAGTTCTGGGCTTCACATTATAGCTAGGTACAGGGCAGGGTCACAAGAATGGTAGCCAGGTTGGGAGGGATGACATATGAGGAGAGATTGAGGGAACTGGGTCTTCCTGGAGGAGAGGAGGGGCTCTTTCAGTGACTTACATGCATGTGAGGGGATGCCATGTGGAGGAGAGCCATGACCTGTTCTTCCCTGCAGTGGTGGGAATGGGGCAAAGTTCAAGCAACCAGCTTCAGGTTGGATGTCAGGAAGTACTTCCTGATGGTTAGGACCCCTATGGAATGGGCTCCCAAGGGTTGAGGCCCCATCAATGAGGGTGTTCAAGCAGAGATTGGACAACCACATGTCCATGAGTGGAGCCAGCTAGAACGGAGGGTCAGACTAGATGACCCAGGAGGACCCCTTCTGACTTGCTTTGTTCCTATGTTTCAAAAGGCATGAAATATTAGTTCCCCTATATTCAGCATTAGTCAGACCTCAACTGGAGTACTGTATCCCGTTCTGGGCACCTAAGTTTTAAAAAGATGCAGAAAAGCTAGAAAGGCTATAGAGGAGGGCAGCAAGGATAATTCAGGGACTGGAGGCAAAAGTCCTTTGAGGAAAGATTGAGAGAACTAGGCAAGTTCAGTCTTAAGAAAAGAAGACCAAGGGGAGATAGAATAGTACTCTATCCTAATTAATTTAATTAATTAAATTAATAATTTTAAGTTGATTATTTTGTCCACAGCTTTTCCATGACCTATTAAACAAGTTATCAAGTAAAAAATTGAAATACAATTATTCTGGCAGGACTTACTCTTGACATAGTCATGCTGTCTTCCAGTCATCACTGAATTAGTATCAAGGTGCCTAAAGACTGAGTACTTTATAATCTGCTCTAGAATCTGTTTTCCAAATAAAGCACCCCACAGCTTTGGAGTAGTTCACAATAAGCTCTTTCAGCAATTCAGTCTTACTGTTACCACTGTTTGTTTATATAATAACAGTTTAATAGGTCCTCAGTATTTACTTTGTATTTGTTTCATAGGACTTTCAGGGTGGATTGGTGAACGAGGTGTACCTGGGGATCCAGGCATTCCTGGGTTGACAGGTGAAAAAGGAGATCTCGGCCCCACTGGACTTCCAGGAGGAAAAGGTAAGTTAAATCATCTCATTTTAGTTTTTAGTATATTATTATTCTGCTATTTTGAGCTTAAAGAGGAATGTTCTGCACATGAGTCTATTTACAATAAATGCTAAAAATGTTTTCTATGATGTTCCAGTACACAAGCCTTTAAATCCAAGCTCCATGTTATAATGGAACAGTAGATATGCATTTCTTTTCAATTACAGCCACAGGAAAAGGATCAGGTCCATGGCAGGAAGCATGGTTAATATTTTTCTCCTGCACTGCTTTCCCAGTGACATATATGCACTGCACACACCTTGCTTCTAAGCTGCTATTTGTCCTGGTAACAAAAATGTATAGGTGCACAGAACTGCAGAAGCTGCTTGAACCTTGCAAAGAGAATGCCAGAAAAGCACTGACCAAGCAATCTGACTACCAAGCGAGTGCTAGGCATTTATTCAACATGACAAACAGACTACAAAGCAGAGGTCAAGTCTGAGAGCCCAAGCATTAGGCTATCTTATTTGCTGCTTGCATATATTACCTTATAGAATTTATATATGTAAGGCCAAATATGTTAGATTTATTGATTACTACGAATACATTGATTAGAAGTCTTCACAAGCAGGATTGAGACTACCAGAAAAAATGGTAAGGGGGTGGGGTTGATGAAACACTTTTGGGGATGATGAAGTTGCAACCACTCAGCAATCTTCTTCAGACAAGCAGCCAGCGTAGTTCTTTCTGAGCCAGCATTGAGAGTCCAGGGGCTTGGCTTTGGGTTTTTGAAACCCTATGCCCTTCCGGACAATGTCAGGAGGCAACTGAATTGCATCCCAGGTTTATGAATACTTTAAGTTTGGCAACTTTTGCAGGTGCTCCTGGCTTTAGAGGAATCACTGGGTTGCATGGTTTGGCAGGTGCTAAAGGCTCAGTAGGATCATCAGGTATGTACCAATTATCTGCTGTTACTGAGATGGGTTAACTTTCACTGCTGACCACTGATTTTCACATCTAAATATTTCTAGATTTTGTGACCATACTGTTGGATAATTACAGAGATGCCATTTCCAAATCTAGGGAAAACTATAGTGTTCTAAGTTATTGCTGTTTGTTTATTTATATCTTGTAAGATTTGTTTCCTCTCGCAAGAATTTCAGGGTGGCTTACACAGTCTCTTCCTCCTCACCATTCAAACTAATCTCTTCCACAACAGGTCCAGATGGATATGGCCCACCAGGTTTTCTAGGTATTTGGGGTGACAAAGGTACAGTAGGAGATCCAAGTCCCATGGAAGGCAGTAGAGGACCTCCAGGTCAGAAAGGAGAAAGAGGAGATCCAGGTTTGTTTATTCACAAGTTTCACACATGGCACCATGGCTTTCTCCTCTCCAAAGTTAACAAAATACCCCTAACCAGAAAACACTTGCCAGATTATAGGTTTAAATTAAGGAAGTAGAATTATAGGATGGAACAGGCATATTCACATGCACTCTTGTGCTTACATGTCAGGATGCATGAAGTGCCCCTGAGGCATATGTGTAAATAAACACAGCTCAGCACCTGCTTCAAAGCAAGGCATTCTACTCTGTAGCCTTGGACAGCTCAGTCCATTAAATGTGAATTACCATGCCATTTCATTTTATTAACCATGCTCCTGTACTACTCTGAATTATTATTATTTTGACTGTATTGTTTTTCAAATATTTTAAATTTGATTTTAATTCTGATTTTAATAGTTTTATGGGAATAGCTTTTAATATTTAGTAGTATACAATTGTACAGTTAAGTAATACAAAACACAGCATATTTTATATGTGTCTGAATCACAAAATGCAAAATGTTAAACATAAAAGAATTAGAACTATATCAAATCTATGTGATGATGTTTGTGGGGTACTAATATTTCATTTTTTGTTGTTTGTTTCCCTTTTCTGTTTTAAACCTTTCATTTTAAAAAAGAGATTGAGGAAAATGCTCTGAGCCATCACAAAACTCTAAGTTGAAAATACCACATTTGATTTCAAAAATACTGCCACCCCACCCCCACACAAATAGAGTCAGGGATACAGGTAGAATAAGCCATCAAACAAGGGGTACAAGCTGACTGTATATAATAGGGCAGAACCCAGTCATAAGTAGTACCCGACAGACCATTGGGAAAACATGACTTCTTTATGAGAGCTTCAGCTATGAGCGGTATAGAAATGTTAATTTTAAAAATCTGATGCTTGCTGGCTTTTCAATCTGATTTCATTCGCTTTTCATTGGCTGTGCAACTTAGTTCCACAGTAGTTAGGCAACAAAACTGAGACACACACAATAGTAAGCGAGGGGAGGGGAACATTCTTTTGTGACCCCAATACTGACTTCACTCAAGTGAGCTTTTATAGCAATTCACAAAAAGGCTGTTTGCTACACAAAAATACTGGTCTGTTTATACGTCTACATTATTGTACCTGTATTAACTAAGTTACTGCACCACTTATATTATGTTGGCTTCTCTGACACAGTTACAGAATGCCACCTCCTTCTGTTTTTCTCAATTAGATAAGACTATAGCAAGGGTAGGCAATGAGGTATCCATTTGCACCAATGAGCTCCTGCACACCTTTATTTCTATTCACTAAAGTACCCAATCACCTTTTGAGGTTAATTAGTCACTTTTTATGGCAGTTAGGTCTACAATAAAACCTTGGATTGTGAGCATAATTCCTTCCAGAAGCGTTGTAATCCAAAGCACTCGTATATCAAAGCAAGTTTCCCCATAAGGTTCAATGTAAATAAGCTTAATCCATTCTGTAACTTTTTTTTAAAAAAACACAAAAATTTGAAGCAGACTTGCTGGGGGAGAGGGAGACAGGTGTGATTGCAGGCACATTCGGCGGGGGGAGATGGGCCTGCTGGGAAGGAGGCGGGTGCAATCGGGGTGGGGGAGGCGGACGCACTGGGGAGGGAGGCAGGCGTGATCATGGGTGAGCTCGGGGGGAGTGGGCACGCTGGGGGGAGGCGGGCGTGATCTTGGAGGCGGGGAGGCGGGCGCGATCATGGCGCACGCTCGGGAGTGGGAGACAATGCTGTACTCACACCCGCAACAAGAGAGAAAAGAACCGGCACTCAGTTGTGACATGAGGCTCAGCAGGCAAAGCACGCGTAATACTGCAAGATAATCTGCACAACATCACTCGTTTATCAAGTTAAAATTTAGAAAAACTTTTTGCTCGTTTTGCAAAACACTCGCAGACCAAGATACTCGCAATCCAAGGTTTTAATGTACTTTAGAGCGAACTGAAGGCCTTCAGCCATGGTTATCTCCATTTCCAGTTAATGCCTATGGACACTATTATTTATTTATTTATTAAAACATTTTTATGCCGCCCCATTCACCGAAGCCTCAGGGCGGCTTACAACAAATAAGTTAAATAACATTTTAAAATATATACATTAAAATAAATTACGAATATACAATATAAAATAAGCCGCCCTGGCCAGAAAAATTCAATAATATTAACATTTAAAATGCTGCTTGAATAAAAAGGTCTTCACCTGGC